CAGAAGCAGCATAGCTGCTGGCAGGGGGGGCACTTGCCACTGTTGATTTGCCCACCCTAGCCCTGTGTATTTCCTGTTTCCAAGTCAGGAGCCATGCAGCATGACAAGGCAGATTCAAAGAGCTTCAGAAAGAGCTTCATTAATTCCAGTTGGCCTTTGTAACCGGATCTGGGAAAGATCTGTGGCACTGACATTATTACTCCCTTACATTACCTACTCTGTACACAAACTGTCCAGCAAAGTCCCTATGTTTTAAGAGAATCTCCTTAATTCTGGATGCATTTAAAAATAAAATGAAGTGCTTCTGGTAAGATGACAACCTGTAACAGGATGGTGCTTTTCCACATAATGTTCTGAGTGGATGTTCTTACAGGGAGCTTTTTATACTGAAAGCCTCAGCGTTGTAACTAGCATTTGTCACTTTTATATGTATTATGTAGCACCCTTGATACCTAATGGAGCTGAGATACTGTATCTCCACAGTGGATTTTTTTAGGCATCACTCTCCGTTTTACTCACAAGTTGGCCAGTATTGAATGTTGGAACCTTCCCCAATAACACTTTAAAAAAAAAAAAAAAAAAAAGCATAACTTCTTTTCTGCTCTTCAAGCATTGTGAAAAATGTAGAGCAACCAAGTAGAATGTAGATGCACTGTCCTCAAGATCCATCTGGAATTGGCCAGTTGAAAGTGGTGTTCTCCACTAACTCCCCCTCCCCTCTCTCCCACCCCTCTTTTGGCCATTTAGCAATGAACAGAAGACTGGACCGTTTATATTGCTTAGACAGGATATACACCTAAGCTAATGTGTATGACTGGAGGAGAACTCTATAGGGAAAGTCTACAGGACTTTCACTCTTTCAGTTTCTATTGGGAAACAGAAATTGTTATAGTCCCCACCATACTGCTTTGTTCTAGTCTGTTTTAATTTTGTTTACGCTGCTGTGGAATAAAAAAACAAGTAATATATTTACTTGCATACAAGACAAGGGTTTTTTCCTCCAGTCAGTCAGAGGAAAAAGCCCCTCACCTTATATCTGCATACAAGAAAACCTCATTAAATATAAAAGCAGCATGTGCTCAGTAATGGAAACTAACTATGATGTTGATTAAATGCAGTCAACACTGAGCATGACTAAAATCCAAGGCCCATATTGGGCAAACATGCTGATGGGAACTTTATTTTCTTTTTTCTTGGTGTGGCCCTTCAAAATGAACAGTTGCTTCTGTAGGAGGAAACAGGCAACACTCACAAGGTCAGCACTCCTAAATCGACCAGACCCTCTACTGGTACCAAAAAAGGTGATGGGAGCCTACCATAAAGATAGGCTAATGCAGCTCATCTAAATAAGATATATGGTAGTTCCCATTGAGCACAGTTCCCCTCACCGCTGAGTCTTTTTCAAGTCATGGTGAGCTACCACATTGCTCACATTTCAACTTCCTCTTCTCCCATAGCTTAGCTACACTTTTCTTTCCCATTTCCAATGATTCCTGTTTCTTCACCAGCTCTCTCTGGCAAACAGCCCCAAATGGAGCCCCAAACGATTAACCCAGAATCCCTCTGTTGTCCCCTGTCTCAACCTGTCACATATGATTATTGTGGCCCTGCCCTCCATAAGATGAAGCTGGACCAGGTTGCCTGTACCTCGTCTTCATATACATTTTTGGAGGATCTCAGGACTTCCAGTATGTAAAAGTGGGCCTCCATCTCTAGTTCCTACTAGGACCTCATCATCCATATGAATGAAGATTTTCATTCTTAACCCTTCTGGGTCCCTTTGTACAGCATTCAGCAATTGATTGAAACACGTATATAGTATACCCAGGACTGAGTACATTGTACTTGCTTCCTCCTGCTCTCCATAATTTAATGCAAACAAAACTGCCTCATTGGAAGAGATTTTGAGTTAGTTAACCATAGTCCAATTTAACCATTGTTGACAGCCTTGACTTATTCCCATGCAGCGGCCTAGCTTTCTTATCTTTCCCTCAGATCAGTTTTAGAAACAAAAGTTTTCTCAGCTTATTGACAAAGTTGCAATTTTAAGTCAACTTCCCCAACAGAACACAAACAAAGCAAAGAGGAAAAGAGAACAGGTTCCTGTATTCTGACATAGGAGCCTGAGAGAGCAACTCCAGTAAGCTCCATGTTAGAGTTACGACTCTTTCTTTAGAGTCTCTAATTCAGTGATTGTCAACCAGGGTACTGTGGCACCTTGGTTGAGATCCTGGTAAGGGTGGTGTGAAATGCTGAGCAACAATAGCACAGTTAGGTGTGCAAATATGTGATGCACAAGATTAACCCAGAGATTTTTAATAGGAATTCATAGCATCAAAAATATTCTGATCTGTTGTGGTCTTTCCGAGTTCTTTGCAACAGAAGAATTGCTCTATTTTTCCAAGGTGCGCCTGGAATCTGAGAGAGACTGGCAAGAGCCAGCATCTGATGTGCAACCAATATCAAATTAAGTAATGGCTAATGCATGTAGTTAAAATCTAGGAAACACCATGGTTTGCAGTTCAGAAGGCTTGATGGTAATTACCAGAGACCAAAAATAAGGAAAAGTTGGAGGAAGGTCAGTCACAAGACTGGTGACCAAGAGCACAGACCAGTCAGCCTGGTTGGTTGAACCCTGACCCCACTATGAATTTTAGTATTATTTCCTGGAAAATGCTTGATGGCACACAGCAGCCCTTTCTGAGTATTTCAGAACTCTTCTATCTTTACAGCCTTGGCTCAGAAGCAAAGTTTTGCTTTTCTCAAATTTCACTTCTCCACGATAGTCTTGACATATAGAGTTCCTGATTTTGACCAGGAATAGAGTTCCTGATTTTGTTTAGAATTTAGCATGACATTGGTTACAATGTTTTAGGCTTTTCAAAAGTTTTCTGATAATAGGCTGTAGTACGTAGACCTAAAATCCATTAGTTGCTCTTATAGATAAGCCGAATCAATTAATCTTGTTAGGGCACTCTCAGGACAGGCAGTCTTCTTGTTGCATCAAGTGGATGGGGCTCCTTCATCTGCCAGAGGTTGCTTACAGGCTCTGGCAGACTTCTTCACAACCACTGGGCAAGAAACCATATGGGAAAGCTTAGTCACAGAATTCTCAAGATGCAGTTGAAGGCACCACCCTGTTGTGTCTGACTTCTAATTCAGCCCTATCAAGGGATATCTAAAACCCAGAGAGGAAGAGTCAAGACTGAGAGTCCCAGTGGAGTTCTGCATTGGACATATAATTATGTACATTTGTACCATCTTACCTTTGCAAACGAGTACTGTAGTAAAAGTGGTTTATGTTCCTGACCCCTAAGCTATGTCCTGCTTCTCCAATTGATTTGTCTTGACACCTTGGGAAAGTCACTTGATCATTATATAATGAATTCATTTATCTATAGGATAAGGATCATACTTGCTTCCCTCCCAGGGTTATACTATTTATTGCTTATAAATTCCTTTGCCATTCTAAAGTTTAGTACAATCTGCTGCTTGCAAAGATTCAAATTACCTATAACACCAATTTTTTGTTTAGATTTGGCAGTGTGGAGGAAGCCTGGAGATCCACCCTTGTTCTCATGTTGGTCATGTTTTCCCAAAACAAGCACCCTATTCGCGGGCTAAGGCTCTGGCCAACAGTGTACGTGCAGCAGAAGTGTGGATGGATGAATATAAAGAGCTTTATTATCACCGAAATCCACATGCACGTTTGGTGAGTTTGACACATGCTACACTTTAAAACTGAACGGGAATATCTTGTTTTTTAGCTTTTGTTTTTTTAACAGGGAAATGTGTTAGAGAGTGTTGTTGTTTCGTTCTTTCTTTCAGTAGGTTTTTTTTTAACTAATTAAAGTTATTCTTTTTCCTGATATAAAATGAACACAGAGTTAATTTTTAATAACTTGGAAAACTGGGAAAATTCTGTAAGACTACAAGAAAGCCTGAATTGTGGTAGTATTTAAAAAAGGGTAAGCTGTATGAATCAGGCACATTTGAAATGGTGAGCCTGAAATTTATGAAGAGCAGGATAGTGAACCAACTGATACAGGACTCTATCAATACAGAATTACAAGACAGAAATACAATTAATGCTAATCAGCATAGTTCAGTGGAAAATAAATCTTATCTAAGCACCTTGGTAATGATCTTTGACAAGATTACAAGCCTGGTGATAAAAAGTAGAACTGTATTGAAGTAATATAAATGGAGACTCATAGTTTTTTTTAGTGGTGTAGAACCTTATGATTTAAAAAAAAAAAAAACCATTCAGAATCCATATGACCCAGATTTATATGATTAAAAATTAGATCTCAAAACATAATTAACTGAAAAATGGGGAAAGTGTTACTAATGGGGGTGCTCCAAGAATTGGTTTTCTGTTAAAAAAATCATTTTTATTTTAAACAAGGAAAATTATAAAATTATTAGTTACTAAGATTTGCAGGTAACACAAGTATTAGGAGAGATGGAGATGACAAGGAAGGGCCCCTGGCTTGGGTGGACTGGCACAATCAAGCAAATTACTTTTTTAATTCCAGTTCAAGGCCCTACACCTAGGATATAATTATGGGTGAGGCCTTAAATATACTGGAAGTGGAACATTCCTAAACTATTCATCCTGAGGCAGGTTCCTAATATGGTAAATTAATCAGACTTCAGGCAGAAAACAAGGATCTAGCATCTTAAGAGTAAGGCAGCTGCAACCATAGGCAGTGCTATCTTCTCTGTATCCAGTTAAAACCCTGCAAGTAGCATGGCAGGGCTGTAAACAGAGCCCAACTCTCCACCTTCCAATCTGAGGATTTAAGCAATAGGCAGTGGAATCTCTGACATCTCTCTACTTCTGAGAATTTGTAATAAAGTGAAAATAGATGTTTTTAAGGTTCTGAGAAGTAGAATACAGAGGTATAGGTTGTAGCCTTGTTGGTCTGAGGATATAGGCAGACAAGTTTCTTTGGGTAAATCTGATATGTTTTATTAGACCAACTCAGATAGTTGGAAAAATTCTTCTTTTCAAGCTTTTGGGTATAAATACCCTCAGTCATGCTGAGGAAGTATTGGCAGTTTGTGTGTGCTCTTCCAAACAGTTTATTTTGGAAGAGCACACACCAAATGCCGATGCTTCCATGGCCTGACTGAGGGTATTTATACCCAAAAGTTTGCAAAGAAGAATTTTTTCAACTATTTGAGTTGGTCTAATAAAAGATATCAGATTTACCCAAAGAACCTTGTCTAAATATTACTTAATGAATTGGTCTGCAGAAGGAATAGCCAGTATTTGGTAGTGCATCTTTAAAAAAAATCTGCCATGTATGTGTCTCACAAAAGCACAGAACACTCCATACCTGTACTTTTATGGGTAACTGGACATGACAGGTTGAAGCAGACAGCGGGTATACTTGCTGAACCTGTCAAGGCAGCATATTTGGTGCTGTGTTACATTAGATTTCACAGTCATTGTGGCCACTCTGGGTCAGTACTCCAGTGGGAGACTTACAGTTCATGTTGCTGGATTCAGTAGTGGCAATTAAACAACAGGGCCCACTCTGCCTTGGCCAATAATTAACCTGAAGCTATGTTTACGTATTGGTTATATCTACATTACACACTGCTGCCAGCATTGCTGTGTGAATCTGGGCGTGAAGTGGTGCAATCCTTAACTAACCAGCACCATTGTGCTAGTGGAAGCCCCTTGTATAGACAAAACATGTACTTCTGTTTTAACCAATAGCAGTCTGATTTGCTCAGGTTGAATAAACTGTGTTGGTAAAAGTATACCTTTGCTAGTGTCCTTACACTAAGAACTAGGAGGACATACCACTATTTCTCTACCGATAAAGTATTCCTAATGGGAATATGGATTCATTGGACAGTGTAGCTAGGGTACAGTCTTTCAAAAAAGACATAACATGGGTATAATGACTGCTTCTGCTCAAAGGCCTTTTTTCCATTGTTGTAGCAGTAGAGGTATTAGTGCTAACATCCTGGCCAAATCTCATTGTTTTGTTCTTAGCTGATTATATTATAGAAAGAGAACTTTGTTCAGCTTTAGTCTCTTTTGAATTGAGTATCTGGCCTGCCTCATCACAATCCACACATGTGTTATGTTCTTCCTCTTTAACTTTACAAGGGTCACCATGAAGGTTTTGTCTTAAAGCACAAGTTTGAAATAGGATGTATGGAAATTTTTGTATCTGTTGCAGGTGGAAATTAATGCTTTTCAACTGCTGGAATGTGACTTTGACATCATGCTGTCAGTAACAAGGAGAGTTGGAAAACTTTCTAGTAATGTTAAGGCCCTGGGTGGCTGATTGTATAATGTGCTGCACCTTTAGCTGGCAGTAAACAAAACTTTTTGTTGTTAATACCCAAGATTTTTTTTTTTTGATATTGTATTGTTGTAACTTAAAGGGTTCAGAGCTTGAACTGAGGGTTTTTGTTAGGGTTTTTTTTATTATTATTTTCCTAAAATTGCTGCTGTTATATTGTGGGTTACCACAATAATGTGATGTACTGCCTGGTTCCTGATTCCTGACAGACTATTTCTTGCCCTGCCTGCAATTGGCAGATTGACAAACAGTTTCCCTAGGCTAGGGAGCTGTTCTGAGGGGCTGTGATACAGAAGCCTCCCTTAACAGAGATGTAGCATTTCTGAAAAAGTAAAACATACAGGGGAAAATAGCATTTTTTTCAAAAAGGAGGAAAAAAGAAAGTTGCAGGGGAAATTAGAAATATCTGCAGTAGTTACTTGCTTGTCAAAGCTAAACAGGTAAATGTAATATAGTCTATATAACTACACTAATATGGTGACTTGTAAACAAAAAAGATGGTTATATCCATAGGGCTCAGAAACAGTATGCAAATAGCTACCTGATGTGTAGAGTAAATGTAGCAGAAATTCACAAACCTTGGAAAATGAACATCCCTATCTCTGCACCATAATATTGTCAACACAACATAGTATTAAGAGTCAACAGTAAATTTAGTTACATAGCCAAACTTTATATTAAAAACAATAGATACCAAGCTCTTGAATCCTGAATTATATAGAAAGTAAATGTAATTTTGTAGGCAAAACTAGCCATCTTTATAAGTAGGGACCTACTCAATTCATGATTTCATAAAAACTGCAAAATCTGGATGAAATCCAAGGGGGAAAAAAACTTACTGAAAATAAAATGCTGGCTCTTCCTCTAGCGGAAAGAGCAGCAGCCAAGATAGCAGAGGGAGCCCCTCACTGCTGATTGTTTGAGAGGGCTGCTTGTCACGTAGCCCTGCACCCCTCAGCCAAACACTGGAGAGGGGTGGAGCCACGCAATGGATATCTCTCTTGGCCAATCAGCGGTGGAGTAGCACTGAGGCCCCTCAGCCAGTCAGAGGTGTGCCTCTCTTCCGCACCCCTCCCGGTGGGATCAGCCCTTGAAAATGGTGGTGGCCAGCCCTGTGATTGGCCTGTGAAATAAGCCACCTGCCTCCTCGATTTTGGTAGGCCCCTATTTATAAGCAAATATAATACAACTTATAGTGTGTTGTATAAAGACTTTGCACACACATTGTAGGACCAATAGGCTGGGCAGATTCCAAGAGTGCACTTCTGGAACAAATACCTGGAGAGGTTCTGTATTTCCAGTATTTGGAAATATATATCCTACATAGAATCCAGTGCACATTACTTGTTAAGTAATCCAGTCACATGTTGTAACAGCACTGTCATTGCTAACATTGCTACCTTTGAACCTTGTTCTAAACAGTTTGCAGTGTGTATTGATTGGCAGCAGAATTCTTCCTTTCTTCAAATAAAGTTCTTACTTTTAACTTCTTCTTGATTTGGAAGTGGAGATGCACATTGATTCTCAGGAAAAAAATTGACTTTAACTTCACCCTAAATTGAGGAATGTTTCATCAGAATGCTTTGCCTAATTTAGATAACAGTGATGGCAGAAGCAATGGGCTGTAGAGTCTCCAGGGAGTTCTCTAGGAGAACTCAGAAGGTATCCTCAAAAGGTGTCCCGTTGACTTAAATGCCTTAAGATGTTCAGCTACCCGTTTCTGAGTGGCCTTGGTTTTAATATATGTTAAAATGGCTTGACTGCACACATCACCCATCTTGTTTTGTTAGAAATCTTCACTTTTGTTCTTACCAGGCTTTTCTTCCTGTGGCATCTTAATGGCTACAGATTCACTAAGAGTAGTTTTCATAAATTTGAAGTTTCCTTTGCTCTTTTTATCAGTCTTTTTCAATGTGTCCAACTTCATGGAATCATAAAGAAGCAGGTTTGGGCCTTGGGAAGTGCAGTAATATGTGGATATTTGTCCATTATGATGTTTTATGTTGCTTTCGTATGACTGGCATTGTCAGCAGAGTGAATGCCTTTCAGCTTCCAAACCTCTCTAGCATTTCACATATTTCACTACTAATACTCTGAAGTATGACTTTTTCTTTTATTTTCATTCATTTTTAAGTATTGCCAAAGTGTCCCGTTGACTTAGTCCTTGCACAGTTTGTATCACGCATTTATATTCTGACTGTAGAAGAAGCATGCTCAAAGAATAACTTCTGGGTGAGTGATAGAATGGTCTAATGCTACTTGCCCGTGACTGTTTTCAGTGACTGATGGTGGACCACATATCATCACTCCTAGAAGACCTTAGTCAATTTTTTCTTGATACTCGGGTATTGTCTTGTTTTTTACATGAGGGCATTGCTGGAAGTCTTTCTTTTTTTATAGTTGGTTGAGCGTCCCATGGTTTTGTGATGACTGCAGATTCAAACTTAAGTGTACAATGCTCCCAGATACTGATCTGTCGGAAGCAGGACTACAGGATCAAGGAATGTTGCAAGTGCAACCACTGTAAGCCTCCATTTACCTAATGCTTTCCTTCTTGGCCTTCATTTCCACACATGAAAGACATTTTTAATGTCTGCTTGTTGTGCATGCAAAGATGTGTACTTGGTCATCCTTGTAGTGTTCGGAAACGCGTATTTCATTTGGCAGTGTTTGCAAAGTACGGGTCCTTTCGTCAAACAAATAACCTTCAGAGTGGAAATATTTCCTGGTGTTACAGGATGGTCACAGTGTTTCAGCTGAGGGAGAAGTGGGGTGGGGGAAGAACTCTGTTGTGCTGGGTGCTTCAGGGCTGCACCTGCTTAAACTATTCTGCTCCCATCATCTTCACACCGCATCTTCTGCCCCTGCACTGAAATCACCAGCGATACAGGCAGTAACCCAGCAAAGAGGACCCCTGTACTCTTTCCTGTTCTATAGTGAAGATGGCAGCGTGCTTTTATTGACTGGGGGATGAAAGTGCATGTACTATGGGTTGCATGAGAGATCTGGTATATGGGAATTCTAATGCAGAAGCAGAACTGAAGGTGGGTTTTTTAAATAAAGCCACTTCATTTGAAATGATTCGGAGTTACAAGAAAACTTTTTGAGTGACTCAAATTCAGCACCAAGAATAACACTGTAAACTGCACTCCAAAAATATTTTGCTCTTCATTCTTTGGAAAATAAAATCATATTGATGTTTATTTTGAATTTTTCCCAAAATTTCCCCTTTTTTTCTTAACCAGACCTAGGAAAAGGGGTGGAAAAGAACTTGTTTTACAGAAAGATTTCTGTTGGTTTTTTTTACCCCAGACTGATTTATCTCTTGCTTGGATTTTGAAAATGGTTGCAACTAAGTTTATATTGGCTATTTTCAATTTGTCCCAAAAAGAAAACATAAATGATAATATTCAACACCAGATAAAATTTCTCAGTGCTTCCTTTTGACACCTCCAAAATAGTGTCTTTGATAATCATGATATCAGGACTTAAACTAAACTCTTTGTGCATCCAGCTGTTGTCACGCCTACCCTGTTGTATGGATGTTAAACTTGGATGATGTATCGAAAACACCTGGAAGCTTTGGACTGTTACTATCGGTAATGTCTTTAGGAGATCCTCCACATCAATTCGAAAGACAGAAGAACATACACCAGTATTCTGGCTCAAGCAAAAACCACCAACGTTGAAGCCATGTTTGTACGTCGCCAACTCTTATCTGACAGGATATGCTGTAAGGATGCCTGACAACTGGTTCCCAAAACAGGTACTATACTCCCAACTCACCATTGGTCACCGCTCTAGAGGTGGGCTAAAGAAGAGATTCAAAGACACCTTGAAGGCTAATCTGAAGAAATGCAATATTAACCTCAAAACCTGGTAGACTCAAGCATTGAATTATTCCCAGTGGCACCATGATGTATGGCAAGGCATCGTTCATGTCACGTAAATTCACCTCATTTTGGATCAGTTAGATGAGAGAGACAAAAGAGAGACCCGACATCACCAGGATCTACTTCTCCCTCCTAGAACTATTTGCCAGGTCTGCAGCCAAACATGTACATCTTGAATCAGCCTCCTCTGTCATCTAAGGGCTCACCAGTGACTTCCCTATTTACTGAAAGACTTGTTATACTCGTACTGAGAGATTATTGCTGCTGCTGATTACATCCTTCATTGTTCTACTCAGCTTTTAGAGGGGTTTGTCTGTTTCTCAGTTTTGAGTGATCAGAACCTCTGACATCTATTTGCTTACTTTCCTCGGTGTCTACAATGACAGGTAGACAATTGCTATTATAATCCTCCTGTAGAGAAAAGCATTTGAGGCAAGCCAGTGCTGATTAGTGAAGAATTCAGCAATGGGAAAAGCACATGTAGCACTTCTCTGCATTCAGACAGGTGATTAGAGGCACGTTCATATGGAAGAAGAGCTGCTGTCCACTTCATCGCATGGTGCAGAGGCACATATTAGTTCACTTATATTTTATCAAATTTCCAGCTTTTACAGCCTTGTTCTATATTTTTCCTACCATTCTGATGCTTTCAAAGCTTTGGGGAAATTGAGCAAGGTTTCAAAATCACATTGGGTGTGATAGATAGATGCATTGAGGTTAGTTGAAGGAATGCTCTGTGTATTCTAAGTTGTAGAAGAGGGGAGTACAAAGCAGCATCCCTGGCCAGAAGAAAAAATACACTCCTTTCCAGCTGCCTTAGTGCTTCACTGCCCTTTCTGTTCACTGGCTAATCTTAGTACTAAGTTTGGCCATCTTTGTCTCTGTATGTTGTGGTCTCTTCCAAGGTTTGTTGCTTTGTTGGCAGTTGGTTTGTATTTTTGTCTCCATATTTCTTCAGAATTGCCAAACTGTCTCTCAGCACCAGACGGATACCCAGTGCTGACTTCAGAAAGGGTTTTTGGTGTTCTCTCACATGCACAGCTACCATGCCAGAGTCCAGCATACCCAAGTGATACTAAGTATATTTGGGGAGAATCTCACTCCCTGAGACAAAGTGCTACCTGCAGGCCTTTTGCCCCATGAAACCATAAGTACTGGAGCTGAGAGATCAGAAAGATGCCGGATTTAATGGCTTCAGTACTTGACTTCGGGCAGCCTTTCTCGAGATGAATATGGGAATTCATACCACCTAGCCATAGCTTTATATTACTTGCAGATTCAAGTAGGTATCTGTGCCTTGCTTTTATATTTGGTTAGTGTTTTCAAGGTTATTTTCACAGCCAGAAGGGCTAGAAATTTCGCTTTGATTAAAAGGGGATGAGAAAAAGGTGGCTGCAGTCTCTCAGAAAGCTGGGGTTTGCAGGCAGGGATTCATGGCACACATGTTTAAAACCCTGGATTGTGGAAAGAATTGGATTTTGAAAATAGATTTGAAGAAACATGATCAGTGAAAAGTGTGAGTAGTGGCTCTCTGGCAGATTTATATTGTCTTTTTTTAGAGTTGGTTCTCTATTAGTGAATTTCCTAATTAGCAAGATCTGTAATGTTCATAAGGAACCTTAACAGAGAATTACAAATTTTAACAGATTTTAGTTTAATGATATCTTTAAAGACAATTTTGTAAGTGGGTACTGAAAATAATTTAGCACTCTTAAATTCATGCACTTTTTTTTTAAAGATTTTCAAATGTCCAGTCAAAAAGCTTTAGCTGTGAATTTCTTACTGTATACTTAACTGACTATTTTCTTATATTTATAAAAAAAAATTTAATGTGATCTGTGTTGAAATTTCTCTCCCAATGTTAGGAGTAACGAAATCAAATCTAGGGCTTGATGGTGGGAGTTTTCCTAAGCAACCACAGCATGATAAGAATTTTTTTTACAGTGTATATAGCTAATCTATTGAAACGTCTACTCTAGTTACTTTAGGGGGGGGGTTTCTTTCTTTCAGGAGCCATATGGAGATGTGACAGAAAGGAGAGTGCTTCGAGAAAAGCTCAAATGTAAGGACTTCAAATGGTTCTTAGAGAATATTTACCCAGAACTCCATGTACCTGAAGACAGGCTTGGCTTCTTTGGAATGGTAGGCAATGAGCTTTTTCATTATTTGAAAGGAGTCTTCTCTGTTGGGTTAGTAAAATATGGAAGATATGTACATCTCATGTTTTTATTCTGATGATAGTAGAATATTTTGGTAGAATTTAATTAGGTTGGGCAGATACTGAACTTCAGACACTAAGCTGAAGAAGTGCTATTTAGACCAAGAACTTAAAGCCTTACAGCTTAAAACAATTTTTAAAAGTGTAAGGGTGATGGTAACATAGCTTTCAGATTGCTTAAAATGTATAGGTAAGAAAAAAGATCAGTGAGGGTTTTGTGCTATGCTTTTTGTTTTGAATTTGAAAATTAAGAAATTAATAGTCTTTGAAAATATGTAACCTTGCTATTTGTATCCAAGTCACAAAATTAAAACAATTCTGGCTGTTCAGAAATAACGACACCTTCCCTTGCTCTTCACTGATGAGCCCTACAGAAGGCCATCAAATCTGGACCAGGTTCAGGATGGTATTCTAAAGCCATAGAGCCTTATAGACAACGTTATCACCTGCTGCTTCCATCAAGGGCAAATTTAGCATGAACTGCCTGCACTGACCAGAACTGTGGTTACAGGAAATAAGAGTCCTCCTTGAGATTGCCTATGTTTGGGATTTGACAGAGCAGATCCTAAGTCCCCCATTATATATTTAAAATGCAGATACTGGTCTCTCTCCAGACCTGACTCCCACTTACAGTATTAAACCCACCTGTGCCTACCATGCATGTTCAGAAGCAATCCATTATGGCTAAGTAGTTACCCACCTTTGCTTGTGCTGTGCAATCCTAATCTAGCAGGAGCATGTAAATTCCACATAAATCTGCATAAGTCTATTGGACTTTGGCCAGAGGAAAAAAAGTGTTTAGTTATTTATTGTTAGATGAATAGGAGAGCCTGCCTTTAATCCAGTGAATAGGCCACTTGTGTGCAAAGTCGGAGACCCAGGCCTAGGGCTCCTATCACCCTGAGGTGGCTTGAACTCATATCTCCTACTTTCTGGGATAATGCTGTAACGATGAGACCATGGGCTAAGCAGGACTGAAGGCATACTTCATCTCTCAAGTTTAAGTTGTCCTATCAATTCACCGCATGGAAAAGATACGAAGGGCCAGAAGGTTGAGGGACTTCATTCTATAGCTCTGTGTGTTGGTCACTTCCTTGGATGGAGGAAGCTTGGACCATCACCTAGGCCCCTCTCCAACCCTCTTAAAGTTGATCCACTAGGCAGCCAAGAGAGGGAGATATGTAGTAGAACGAGTCATAGGATATGTAACTTAGTGAGTTGCACATTGCCCTGGATGGGACAGGGATCTGGGTTCAAGTCTTGGACCCCTGCTCCTAAATGGAGCAGAAGCTACTCCACTGCCTTTTATCCAATACATTTTAAATCCAAAGTATGATGGAGCAGCTTCACAAAGTGGGTTTGAGAGGGACCTGGGGATGGCCTATCCCATGGCCTGATGGTTAGAGCATTTTGGGGAAAAGCAGAAAATGCAGATTCAAGTCCCATCTGGGGGTGGTCTCTGAAGGAGTGGTCCTGAACTTCAGGCTGTTGGGATGAAAAGTGGGAGGGCAGTCCTCCATTTTAATTTTAGCCTGTGTTCATACAAGGGAGTTCTATTTCACCACAGGTTGAAACAGAATGGTAAACTGTTTTATAAGTGCCCCAAACTGCGGTTTCAGCAGCTTTGGATGTGCTGTGGAGGCCCTTAACACTTATTGCAATTGTGGTTCAGTTATTGTGTTAATCACACCACAAATGGGAACAATGCTAGACAGTCACCTGATTTACAGCACCATAAATGAGGCAAACCAGACACCATAATATTCCAGAAAATACGTAGAACATCTTTGTAGCTCATTTTTATGGTTCCATAAATCAAGCAATCAGCCAGTTGTCAGCATGGGCATGGGGCTGGGGCTGGCATCAGGACCAGAGCAGGTGTTCCATTGCTGAACATGGTCTGCTTGGGAGCAGGTTTCAAGGTTTTTCTAGTGGGGAGAGAGGGGTGCAGCTAAGTGATGCTTCCCCGCCCCCCCCATGGAGAACCTGGAAACTCTCAAGTTCAGAAGCCTTTCCTGCCTGCCAGGCGGCAGGCCAAGGCATTTTAAAATTGAGGGTTGGGGAAGTGTGGCTGAACCTGCAGTTTTTAGAGATCTCAACAAATGGGGACCCTGGAATGGGGGGAGAGACTCCCCAATCCCAGGGCCCCAGGACTTCTAAAAACCATGTGTGCGTGTAGCTAAGTGGTCCCTGGACTGTCTTGGGGCTAGGTGAGTTGCTCTCTGCCTGATCTGCTGGAGCATGGAGCATAAAATTCCTCCAATCCCAACTATGCCATTGGTTTAATGTCTGCCAGGGGCCCTGGATACAGGAAGTGAAATAGCATTTAGCTCCCTCAGTCCACTTTGTCAGTAATGGAGGTTGAAAGATTTAACCAGTGCTGTTATACCAATGACCAGTGTAATGGTCAGAAAACTCTCTCAAAGCCCTCTGAAAATCTTTCAGCACTGCGTTCTGAGCACAGCTGGCCTGACTTCTGTACATCACAACAAGAAATTCTGTCTCAAGTAGGGAGTTCAGGTAGTGGGCTGATGGATGCACTGGAACTTCTATTTTAATGCTATCCTGGGACTTGCATATTTGCCAGGCACTCTCAGGAGACTGGGCCATGGGAGCAGACCTGAACACATTATTAAAGAGAATGGGGGTAAGAATAAGATATATGCCACCTGCTGCTATTTGAGAATGAAAGGAGCAGTATAAAACATCTCCTTGGGAATGCTGAGCAAACTGGCAAGCGTATGTCTTTGGCAGATGGTCGAGAGCAGGCATCTTTTAGGTGCTCGGCATGCTTCTGTTTCCCCTCAACTCAGTGAGACACCTTGGGTGTTTCTGTGAGGAAGTCAAGAGAAGGAAGTCACAATTTTAAAACTAATTCTACTTTTAAGAATTCATCTTTGTCAGACTGTGTCGTTTCCCATTTTCCATTATCCCTGGCCAGATCAGAAGCTATACATAAGGTATTTTTGCATGGCACAGTGTACAGCCATGCAGAGATGACCTAAGCTAGCTTGGGTATTGGAAGCAATCTGGTCATCTTTTTGCAGGGTTTTTGAGCCCAAGAGAGTACAGTGTTAGTGCAGCTAGACTGCTTCCAGTACCTAAGTTAGCACTGAGTGAATGCTGGAATTTCTGCAGGTTTACCCCTCAACTACTGCTTGAAAAAAAGTGAAGTTCAGTCATGTAAGCATATGGAATACACCATGTTGGGCAGGAAAGATGTGAAGATACAATTTTAAGTGCAGATATACCCTGAAAAGTGATAAAACAAAAATTACGCCCAGTGATTCAACTGATCTATGTATAGCCGGAATCCCATCTGTTGATTTCAGTGAATGGTTGGTCACACTCTTGGAAACTGAAATGGCTGTGCAGTGGTTTTTTGGTTCACAGAAATATGCTTGAAGATGTTGTGTTGTTAAACAATTCTATTTAACATTCATGGCATTTAACCATTAGAACAGTTTGCCAAACAAATTTTCCATCACTTGAAATCTTTAAAGTGAGATTGGTGGTCTTTCTAAAATTTACTTCATTGTTGAGCTCAATGTAAGAATCACTGAGTGAAATTTAATTCTGCTACATTATACATTATACTGCCACAGTAAATGACAACAGTAGTATTTTTGTTATTGTTTTTCCTAGTATGCGTAAAATCTATTAACCTGGTTGCCTACAATTAAGTTCTTAAAGCCTTATTTAAACTGTTAAACCCATAAGTGACCAAGACTTTAAAAGGTTTGCCTGAGCTGTATTTGGTTTAATTGATGCAGACCTATTGAGGAGTTCATTTTGAGCTTGCAGACATGGAAATCAGAAAAAATACCTTCTTATATGAGTGCACATTATACCAAAATCTTTGAAACACAATAAGCCTGGAAGTCCGTGGTACCATTACTAGTCAGAATAGAATCATACTTTGAAAGTGTTACTTTTTCTACTAGTGTCTCTATCATACAAATTCTGTTTATTTTGGTCAGGATTTTTGAGTAAATATTGTGATACCAGGGCCATAGAAGATATAAAATTGTAAGGAACAAGTGGCAGCATAGCGACATAGTTATCACATTTGTCAGGGGTTCCAGGAGAAGATCTCTGATCTGAGGAAGGGCATCTGGTGCCTAAAAGATTGACCAATAGCTTTCCCAGCTCACTTTCACTGTGTGCTTTGTATTTTCATTCTTTTTTTACTGTTTGCCTCTGGGCTTAGAGTAAAATTTTCAGATTTTTCTATCTCATTTTAAAAAAAGGGAGTTGGGCACTTCTGAGAATTTTACCCATCAGTCACAGAATGATAGAAGCATAGAAAATTAGGGCTGGAAGGGACCTCAGGCTCAGGAAGCCATTTAGTCCAACCCCTTGCTCAAAGCAGGACCATTCCCAACTAGATCATCCCAGCCAAGGCTTTGTTTAGCTGGATCTTTAAAATCTCCAGGGATGGAGATTCCACCACCTCGCTGGGTAACCTGTTCCAGTGCTTTACTACCCTCCTGGTGAGAGAATTTTTCCTAATATCTAACCTCAACTTCCCTTGCTACAACTTGAGACCACTGTTTCTCTGCTTTGTCCTTTGTTTTGACTTGAACTGGTCTCTCTTTCTATCTTCCTTTTGACCTCAGCTTTGGCGAGCAGGCACTTAAGAGGTTAAGATATTGTGGTATATCTGGAAATATAGTACCAATTATCTCTATCACTTCTGGGTTATCATGAGTAAAGCACTTTGCTTCTGTTGAAATTCATGCCCTTGTCTGTATTGCTTTCTCCTTCCTTCATCATAACACAATATGGTGACAGAATTTGCTGTAGCCTTTCTCTGGAGAGAACTGAGATCAAAGGAAAATTAATAAACAGAAGAGGGAGGTGGAAAGAAAATATGTTTTCTGCAACCTGCAGAATGGGATGAGCTGGTAGGGTTGAACTGTAA